TTTTTTTTTTTTTTTTGCTGTCATTAAATTCATGTAGTATATTTGTTGTTAATGTTAGGGGCCATTGAGTCATTTTCAACTCATAGTGACCCTGTGTACAACAGAACTAAACTCTGAGGTCCTGCGCTATCCTCAGAATCATTGCCATGCATCAGCAGATCATCACAGCTACTGTGTCAGTCCATCTTGTTGAGGTCTTCCCTTTTTCACTGACCGTCTACAACAGAGTGTTTTCCAGATAGCCATAAAGTTTTCAGTGGCTAATTTTTTTTCAGAAGTGAACCTGGGTACATTCTTGTTCATAGTTTGTCTTAATCTGGAAGCTCTGCTGAAACCTGTCTATCTTGGGTGACCCTGCTGGTATGTGGAATATCTGTGGCATAGCTTGCAGCATCACAGCAACATGCAAGCCACCACAGTATGACAGACTGACAAACGAGTGATGGTCAGTATATTTAGTGGATTTTAATCCATTACTATATCTTTATTGTAGCTGAAATTGTCACATCTTTGGCCAGTGGAGGCAAAGATGGCTTCTGCATCCTTTTGACATGACCCTGATAATCTTTGATTGGTAAAGAAGGGGACACATTTTTTGTTTTATTTGCTTTGCTTTTCGAAAAACTTCAGAATGTTTTCTGAACCTTTGGGTAGGTAGATTTTAGTTATGTTTGGTTCCTTAGTAATACGGTCTTTGAGGCAGTATATAGACAGGCATGCCTTAGAGCTTGTGTTTCTTGCAAATAATGGTTTTATTTTACAGTATGTATGTATGTATGGAGAGCCATAAGTAATCAGCATTTCCTAGCAACAAGTTTAGAGGATATATTAAAATGGTTTATTCAGTCAACTGCTAAACACTCAAATGCTTTGTTCAACCAGTCTCCACAGTAGGAGCTATAGGGAACTCAAACAATTTATGACATCTGCTAATTTATTTAGCATTTCAGTAAATAAGTTCAAGGACTGATTATTAACTTTATTTTTTCTTTCAGACCTGTCACGAAATCGCCTTTCAGAAATTCCTATAGAAGCATGTCATTTTGTTTCTCTTGAGAATCTCAATTTGTACCAAAATTGTATTAGGTATATCCCAGAGGCAATTCTAAACTTACAAGCTCTAACGTTCTTAAATATCAGGTAAGGATATTTTTTTCTTCTTTTTATTAATTTCTAATTTGATATGATCAGCCGCAGGGATCCAGGTGAGGAGAGGGAACTCAGGCACATCCAAAGCAGCAGGGTGGGAGAGTCGGAGAAAGGGAATTAAAAGCCAGGAACCAGGACAGAGGAGCAGTCAGCCACAGGGATCCAGGTGAGTACAGGGAACTCAGGTCCGCCCAAAGCAGCAGGGTGCGAGAGCAGGAAAAAGGAGATTAAAAGCCAGGAACCAGGACAGAGGAGTCAGCTGCAGGGACCCAGGTAAGGGTGGTATGAGAGGTTCCCAACAGGGAGACAAACTTGCCTGTCGGTTTGTCCTACCGTGGTGACGTGTTGATGTGAATTTTGAGGCTGAGCCACTGGTATTTCAAACCCAGTGGGATGTACATGGTGCACAGGTATCAGCCTAGCTTACAGACTGAGACAGACTAGGAAGAAGGAAGAGGCCATCCACTTCTCAAAGATATGGCCAGAGAAAAGCTTATGAATAGCAAAGAAACACTGTGTGATACATTACCGTGCAACTTTATGAATAGTTTGGTTAGGTTAGAAGTCTCTCAGAATAGGATTGGGAAAGAGCTGCATCATATGAGTAAACCCAGCCTTAGTCCCATGGATAAGGTAAAGCTTTTGAGACCTCCATTTGCTGATGTGGCACCACTCAGATTGAAGAGAAACAGCTGCAGACATCCATTAATCATTGGAAAATGGAATGTACGAATGGAAAGAATGAATCTAGAAAAATTGGAAGTTGTCAAAAATGAAATGGAATGCATAAAGATTGATACCCTCGGCATTAGTGAGCTGAAATGGACTGGTTTGGGCCACTTTGAATCAGACAACCATGTGGTCTACTATGCCGGGAATGACACTTTGAAGAGGAATGGTGTGGCATTCATCATCATAAAGGATGTTTCAAGATCTATCCTGAAGTACAATCCTGTCAGTGATAGGATAATATCCATACACTTACAAGGAAGACCCATTAATATGACTATTCAAATTTATGCCCCAACCACCAAAGCCAAAGACGAGGAAATTGAAGAATTTTATCAACTTCTGCAGTCTGAAATTGACCGAACATGCAATCAGGATGTGTTAATTATCACTGGTGATTGGAATGCAAAAGTTGGAAACAAAGAAGAATCACTGGTAGTTGGAAAATTTGGCCTTGGTGACAGAAATAATGCTGGAA